TGTGTTTAATATTACTCATTTTTCACAAGTGTGTGTCATGGGTATTGAGTGTGGGGTAGAAATCTGAGGGTCTTTGTTGGCCACCTCCCCCTTTATTTTCTCTTATTGTATTGTACTTGTTTTATAAGTTACTGGTAAAGACGTGTGATGTATTGAGACCTGGTGTGAAGTGTTGTATGTGTTTTTATCAATTGTATGTTAATAAAGTGACTTTTGTTTATACCCATTATTATTATTATGCTCACCCTGCCTTTGGCAATGAACCTGTGTCCCTTTGTTTAGGGCTGTTATGTCCCGGTGTATTCCGGGTGGCGTAGTCGACTATAGGATTTCTCTTATTATTGGTAATATTCCAAACTCCTGACCACTCACTGCCACATTAACTAAATGAAAGCCTGACTGATTTCTGACTGACAGATAGTACAGCCAACAAGAAGAATTCAAGCTGCTGACCAAGAAAACAAAGCACGGTCATTCTGCACATTTGCTCTGTACCATCGACTGATGCCCCCTGCTCAGTAGTCTGCTTTTGAAGTCCTGGTTGGTATAAGGGTGTCTGTGCCTTCAGAACTGTGACAAAAACATTTTGTAGATGGAATCACAGACAATGCAATCTCAAAGACGACGTGTCCAAAGCTTGGAACACATGCAAGTTCTGTATCAAGTAGTGTAATATGTGTTGAGTTACTCTACTGTGAATTGAGACTCAAGTCAGACTAGTGAAACCTGAAACCCATATCTCTGTTCCACATATGAACCACACTAAACTGAAGAGGTTACAAGCTAGAAGAAACAAACAGACAGCGATGAAGAAGTTTAAGGCAATACCAAAACAGATGTCTGTCAGACTATGGCATTACAGCACAGCAGGCAGAGCCACAGCAGGATACAACAAATTATCTAAAAGTTATATTTAAGCATATAGAATTATTCTGTTCCCCATCAAGAACTTCTTCAGTTATGGTTTTTAGCTTTGGAATGCAAGAGAGTAATTTTGTGCTATACACTTGAAATGAACAATTACATATTGTTCATTACTGTAGGATATCTTTGGAAACTTAACATAACAAATGCAACAAATAAAACGACTAACAACACTACATAACAGTATTAACCAACATCAAAGCAAGCAATAATATTACATTGAAAATGGTTGTTTGTCAGAATAGTGCAGCTGGGGGGAGGGAAATTAATGGTTAAAAAATCCCAGAAAGTATAAGAATGATTCATACCCTTGATCTTCATATGGGCTGTTGTTGCCTTGTCTCCACATACACACGTGTAGTCTCCTTCATCTTCAGGTTTGAGCTCTGTGATCTTCAGCTCCACCTTTGAGGCAATCTGCCTGATGACGTACTTTCCTTCAGATTGGATAACATGGCTTCCTTTTTTCCACTGCACAGGGACACCAGGTTTGGAAAGCTCACAGGACAGAGTAGCACTGCCTCCTTCATCACACTCCAGGTTTTGCAGCTCATGTGTGAAGACCACTGGTAGTGCTGAGGAACCGTGAAAAGATGTTGGAACCATGTTACACAAATCACTCAGGACAACATCCGAGAACTGGACTGAACAGAAGTCTTTTCAGTCTTGTCTAGTTTTCTAGCTTTGAAGTCATTAAGGACATCAATCAAGCAATTAAAAAACAACAACAAACAAAGCCATTAGTGTAATAAGAAAAAACCCTGATCAAGAATAACTTCAGGTCACAGTAGAGGACTGTTATATGATATGTAATACCATACATTTAATCACAATTCAACAAAAGCTGTCATTCCTACCATTGATGGTAATGGTAGATGAGGTCTTGCTAAACCCACAATCACAACTATAGACCCCAGCATCTTCAGGTTTGACATCAGGGATCTTCAGTTCAAAAACAGAACCAACTTGCTTTATGTGGTATTTCTCTCCAGAATGGATCACTTGTGTTCCTTTCCTCCAAACCACAGGCACTCCTGGTTTGGAAAGCTCACACTGAAGAGTAACACTGTCCGCCTCTTGACACTCCTGGTTTTGTAGTTCTCTTTTGAAGATCAATGCTAAGAAGCAATTGATGTTTCAACAGGTTGTTAGTATAATGCACTTTGCACAAAATGTAAATGCACAACATGACAAAACATTCAAAAACCTACCAAAGAAAACGAGACATTATGAGACAGAACACTGACAGATATCACAAAAACATTGAACATCTTACAAGACAAAATTAGCAGATATTTGTATTAGTGAAGTTAATCTACTTAAGCCAAATAATGCTATAATATCTATGTTAAGTTCCCTTCAAGCGACTAACCAGTAAAGGTAAAAATATAAAAACTCTTTGTACTCACTAAAGAGTGAACATGAAAAAAAGAAGACATTTAACAGACCGTATAAATTTCATACCCTTGATTTTAATGTTTGCTGTAGTCTTTTTGTCCACACACACACATGTGTATTGCCCAGCATCTTCAGGTCTGAGGTCAGCGATCTTCAACTCAAAAGTAGCCCCATCTTGCATGATGAGGTACTTTTCCCCAGATTGCAGCACCTGCGTTCCTTTCTTCCAAACAACAGGAACTCCACGCATTGAGAGTTCACAGTGAAGAGTAACGCTGTCTCCCTCGTCACACTCTTGGCTTTGTAGCTCACATTTGAAGACCACCGGTAATGCTGAAGAGCAATTATGTGATGACATAAATTAAAGGTGTGTAAAAATTAGTAGTTTCTTGACTACACATGCATTGACATTTTAGTGTATCGCTTGATCTTAGTGCTAAAATAAATTGAATTAAAGTAAGGGAAAAAAAAATCTATATCTAAATCAATAAATAGATGCATGTAAATGAATAGGCTTTTATCCATACCACTGACAACAACATTTGCTGTTGTTTTTTCGCTTCCACAATCACAGGAATATTCTCCACTGTCCTCAGGCACCAAGTCTGAAATCTGTAGCTCACACATGGTGTCCCTCTGCATTATCTGATATCTTCCCCCATGTTTCAGACTTTCCGTTCCCTTCTTCCATTGCACTTGGCAGCCAGGTTTTGAGAGCTCACAGGAAAGTAAGACTTTCCCACCTTCAGTAACCTGCTGGTTCTTCATCTGACCCTTAAACCTAGCAGGTACCACTGGAGAACGAACAAGCATCATATAATTAAAATTCTTCTTCATAGTTTTAGCATCCAAAACACAGGATGGAAGATCTCTGGGATGAGATGATGAAGGTATGACATGGAAGCTAGGATAAGCCAACGTCTGTGTTATTTTGCGTCATAATGTGATTAAGCTTGTAATGTATAATATCTTTACATCATTATTGGTCGTCAAAATTTTCTATAATCACGGAAACATTAAAACAAACACAGAAACAGTTCCAACACATCCATTGCACCAGGACTACATGAATACATATATTACAAATACAAAGTCCAGACAAGACTGAATCTCACAAACCAAGACAAACACAAAAGTACAAGTGCCATTTCTAATATTTGACAACTTGACAGACTGCTGAAAGACATCTACTGAAATCACACAACAGCTTCTTTATAAAAACTAACTGATCTGCCCAATAAAACCTAAATTATATTTCAGATAACTAAGACAAGGATGCTAATGGTAAAACATGTGAACCCAAAGTAATGAAATGTTCTATCATGTCAGTTGTTGAACTAAGAACAAGTAAACAATTTCAGCATGTATGGAAATAAAAGACTATTTAACCACATTTTTACCAAACTGACTTGCTAGAAATCTAAATGACATGCAAAGTACCAAAATTATTGTAAAAGTACAATATAAAAGTACCAGTTCTCTGAACTGAGGTGATCATCTGCTGACACAGAAATGCATGAGACTATCACCGAAATGCCTGGCAGTAACATCGCCACAAAGGAACCCAAAAGTAAAATGTCAAATGCAGAAATACAACACATATGTTAAATCAAATTAAAAATTGTACATACCAGAAATACTTTCAAAGAACACAGAGACAATAAAAACACTATACATGCATAAAAGCTTTAAACATAAAAAACACTATCTAAGAATATAATATAAGATTCTCCAGCTTCAAGTAATTATTTTCTAGCTAAGGGTAATACATTGCTATAAACACCCAGAAAGAGAGATTTCTGTGTTAAGCGGTTTATTTTTCGGCGAAAGCCAGGTTCTTACCTTTCACCGTCAATTTGGCTGTACTCTTCATAGAGCCAATGTCACAGGTGTATACCTCGCTGTCACTCTTCTCCAGATCCTTCACTTTGAGGATGAGGACAGTTCCCTTTTGCATAAGCTCATACCTTCCTCCAGCCCTGATCTCCTTTGTTCCTTTCAGCCAGGTGACTTTAGAGGCAGGTTGGGTTGTCTCACATTCAAAGGAGACAGCATTCTTCTCTTCTGCAGTGGCATCCTTTAGCTCACGAATGAATTTGTTGGCCAGTTCTACAGAGGGGATGAAATACTAAAGTAAATATATCTCCTGTTTAGAGGATTTCCCTCTTTGTATATTTAAAGAAAGGATAACAGAATCTAAGGCTACGTTTACATGACAACGATGTAGTCAAAAACAGAAACGTTTTTCCCTTGCGTTTTTAAAATGTTCATGTATACACGACAATGTTTTCAAAACAATTCACGTTTACACATATCCGCGAAAACGGCCAAGAACGCTGTATTACGTATGCCAGGCCAGTAGTTGGCACTGTCACCTTGTTAGTAATTTAAAAATCATTGCCTTTGATCTCCAGCTTAGCCTTGGAGGTTGGACCACCGGTGATCTCACAGCTGTATTCTCCAGAATCTTTTTCAGTGACGTTGCGGATTGTCAGCTTTACGAGCGTCTGCTCCTGACTGATTTCGTATTTCTGGCTTTTTCTAATAGATTTGCCATCCTTTGACCACTTCACTTCCAGTCCAGATTGAGAAAGCTCACAGGAGAATGTGGCATCCTCACCAATTTTGGCACTGACACCTTGAAGCTCTTTAGATATGGTAGGAGCTTCACCTGGTTCCCAAAAATAAGATACACCTTGATTAAGCAAAACCGTATTTGTGTAAAACCTATAATCCAATTCATTGCATGCCCTGCTTACCCTCAACAGTAAATGTTGCCTTTGAGCTCAAATCCTTGAGAGTGAAGACCACCTCACCGGAATCAGAAGCTGAGACAGTTTTGATTGTTAAGGTATACTTGCGCCCTTTGCTGCTTATCTGGAAACGGCCTCCATCAGTGACAGGTTGGCCTTTTAGGCTCCAGGTGCACCTCTCTGAACTTTCTCGGGACAAGATACACTCGAATGTGCAGTTTTCACCTGCTTTGGCCTCTACCGATTTAAGACGCTTGGTGATCCCAATGTGGATATCTGGGGTCAACAGCAAAGACATGATTAAAAAACACCAACAACTTTATCCGTTTTCATAAAAACATACAGGATAAAACTACACCAAAATGACATTACAGTGTCATTGTAGCACAACAGTACTACATAAGTTTGTTGTCATACCTCTAACAGTGACCTTGGACTTGGAGAGGTCTGTGCCAAGATCACAGCTGTACTCCCCGGCGTCAGCTTGTGTGACATCATGGATAGTAAGTCCCAAGGTCTTACCATCATGGAGGAGCTCATACTTTTTCCCTGCTGACAGGACTGTTCCATCTTTGCGCCACACAGGGGCCACTCTGGGCTTTGAGGCTTCACACTTAAGGGTAACTGTACCCTTCTCCTCTGCAACTACATCATCCAGCAACTTTAGGAAGATGGCTTTCTTCTCTGGATGTCAATAAATAAAAAAAGTGCATTAAGCCAAAACCTGGTCAAAAAAGTATTTATTTGGACATCGTGATACAACCCCACCTTTGACCTTTAGGCAGACCGTTTCTTTCACATCCCTGATGCTGAATAAGACCTTCCCACCATCCTCAGGTGCTAGGTTCTTGAGGGTGAGCGTATGGGTTTTATCCACATGGGTGATGGCATTGACCTCATTGTTGAAGAGCGGCTTGTCATTGAGTGTCCACTGGACCTCTTCATCAGCATAGTTAACCTCACAGGTGAACACAGCATCACCATCTTCATCCACCTCCACGTCCGTCAGATGTTTGGTGATTTGGATTTTACGCACTATGTATGTCAGAAAAATAAACATCAAAAAGCACGATCAGAGTGGCATTTATTTTACCAACAGCACCTATGAGTGCTTGGCGTAGTCAAAGCAAAGCTCTAACAAGCAACCCTAACCCTAATGGTTTGGATGTATAAAGGGAATGCAATTTGAAACGACATGTTTCGAATGCCTTCTTTGTGACATTACCTTCTACTTTGAGAACAGCTTTGCTCTCACAGACCCCGACCTGACAGCGATACTCTCCAGAATCCTCTGCACTCAAAGTTTGTATGATCAGCTGCACATTGGCGTCCTTTTGCTTCATGCTGTATTTGCTAGAAGCCTCCAAAGCGGTTTGACCCTTAAGCCACCGTACTTCTTTTGGTGTGGCAGAGAACTTGCAGCATAGTGTGGTGGAAGTCTTCTCCTTGGCTGACACATCTTTAAGAGGGTCCAGGACTTCAATGGGACGCTCTGTGGAGTGATATGAACAATGATTTTGAAAACAAACACAAAAGTGCACAAAACTACAACAAACATTGCATTTCATCTGTAGTAAAAATAAATAGAGCAAAATACACCTTTTTTCAAAGCACTCAATTTCTGTTGGAATTTCATCATGCATCATCAAAAATTATTTAATTATAATTATTAGATACAGATTAGATTTCTTTTGGAGTGGCTTTTTGCAAATCTCGGCTAAACCAAGTGTCTAACCTTTCACTTTGAGCTCAGCTGTTGATTTGCTCTTTCCGGCAGTGAACTGTACTGGGCCTGACATGGAGGCCTTGGTCTTCTTAAAAGTGAGTCGGTGCATGGATCCCTCTTTCTCCATCTCGATATCTGCACTCTCCTTCAGCTGTTCCCCATTTAGCGTCCATTTCACTGGCTTGACTGTCTCCACGCTGACTTCCACCTCAAAGTTGGCAGCAAACGGCTCGGTCACCTCCACAGAACTCAGCTCCCGTACTATGCTGATAGCCTGCTCTGAAGGTTGTGATGAGACAGTATAGCGCTGTGTCAAGAATTGGCTATATCAAAAATGTTTATGTAGTACAATTCTTTAAAAACACTTAAGACTTAAGAAGACACATACTAATGAAACTGCATGGAAATAAAACAAAATGCATGGAAAGTAAATTCACACAACAGTAATTTAAATTGTAAGCAGGCATAAATTCATCCCTGTTTGAAAGGGGAAATTAATGAGATAAATAAGATTTTTAAAAAGGGTTAAAATCGCATACAACGCTCATTCTTGTCTGTTGCAGATCAATCAAAAACTGATCTACAAAATAATTAACAACATGCAATCACATTTTCTACACCATTTTTACAGTCAATTTCAAACGTGTTTTAGTTTGTAATGTATGGTTGTGCTTTATGAATTCTGCTGTGATTTCATCCTAAAATTTTACAATGGAAATGGTTTTTACCCTCTACTAGTAGCTGACATGAAGTCTTATCATCAATGGCGTCACACACGTATGTATCCTCATCATCAGAGTCCACGTCGATGATGGTGAGCTTCCTGTAGATGTCCTCACTGGTGATCTCGTGCTTCTTGCTGGGTTTGATCTCTGACTTGTTCTTGTACCAAGTGACTTTAGCGTTGGCCCGTGACACCTGACATTCTAAGTATGCGCGGTGTTTGTACATGGCGATTTTGTCTCTCAGTTTCTTCACAAATCTGACAGGCAGTTCTGTAATGATTATAAGGGAGCTTAGGGGATCTACAGATTTGTTAGACAACCTTAGAAATGCTACACAGCCCAGGCTGTAGTTCATTAGTCTTAACACTAAATGCAAAATACATGCAGATATGACGGACATGACAACGAACCTTTAACCTTCAGTTTAGCGGCTGAAGAGGCCTTCTCAGCTGTGAACTTTATTTCACCTGCGTCCTCAGCCTTTACAGATTTGAAGAGTAGAATGTATGTTCTTCCTAAGACAGAATTTTAAATGAATTTAAGAACCATTAATCTGTTCCTCTTGGAGCTGATTTTTTGTTTGTTTTTGCATTTGTGAACAGAGAAAATAAAAGGAACCGATTGTATTGTAATTTAAACTATGTACTGCCATACTGGGCTGCATGTTCCTCAATCTACAAGCATTTCTACAAGCACACCTAAGCTTTCAAGAAGGAATCAATCAATGTTAATTTTGTTCAATTTACCCTCCTGCCTTATCTTTATGTTGTCTCCAGCTTTAAGTTTGGCATCTCCTTTGTGCCACTGAGCCTCGACCTCATCGTGAGAGACCTCGCAAACAAACGTTGCACTCTCCTTCTCTGTCACCTCCACGTCCTGCAGCGGCTTGACTATTTTAATATCTCTGGCTGCAAGAATTCAAATACAAACATTTATTCAAGTGACACTACAAAATGCTTGAGTTCAGCAGTGATTAAATGTCCCACTCAGAAGTCGTTCATCTTTACCGTGAACAGTGAACTTGGCCGAAGTATTGTCATCTGTTGTTCTACATATATACTGGCCCTGGTCTTCATATACACACTTGTGGATGATGAGGGTGTGCTTGTTGGCCTGGGAATAGATGCCAAATTTCTTTCCTGGCTTCAGTTCCTCATCATCCTGATGGGAAATAATGACAGACAGTTCCATCAACATTTTTTACTTTTTCTTTTTTCAAATCATTTTGTATTTTTTCCATTTGTGACTACACAATTTATTTTTAACAATTCTAAATCAAATACTAATACCTTAAACCACTTGACATCAGCATTTGCTCTTGACACCTCACATTCAAAAGTGACTTTCTCCTTTTCAGGAGAACTGATATCCCTTAGAGGTTTGAGGATCTTTGCAGCAGGTTCTGTGCACACAACGCCAATAATTAGGGTTATAATTGTTATATATAGATTCTAACATTGGTGGTAATGTTATGGATCTCCTCATTAGTTTACATAAACCTTACTAAACTTGCAATAAGCGTAAATGGGATATATTGTGGACATTCATTTAGTTTGTCTGGCTGAATATACTTAAAAATGTTGGTTATACAGCTTCTGAAAGTACAAAACTTGAAAACACACTTTTTATGATCTTATGCTAAACATCTTACTGAATCTTGCTATTCAGGCTTAAACTTAAAGGGATAGTTCACCCAAAAATGAACATTCTGTCATTAATTTCTCACCCTCATGTCATTCCAAACCCGTAAGACTCCAGAAACGTAGCAAGGAGATCAGTAAAATAATCCATGTGACATCAGGGGTTCAACCGTAATATTACGAAGCTACGAGAATACTTTTTGTGCGCAAAAGAAAAAGACGAATTGTTGAATAAAGTCGTTTTTTTTTCTTTTGCGCACAAAAAGTATTCTCGTAGCTTCGTAATTAGGGTGAGTAATTAATGACAGAATTTTTTCATTTTTGGGTGAACTAACCCTTTAAAGACCGATGTGAATATACACACTCACCTGTAACAATTAGTTTGCCAGAAGTATGGACATCCTCAGCTTGGAAAGTAATAGTTCCACCATCACTTATCTTCAGCTGGGACATAGTCAAGCAGTGCTTGTTGCCCAGTGCTGTAATGATGATATTGGGTCCTGCCTTTAGTTTCTTTGCATCTTTGCTCCAGGAACCTTCTACATCAGCCTTGCTTAGCTCCACCTCCATAGTGATGGTCTCTTTTTCTTGCACTTTAATCTCTTTTAGGCCTTTTACTATTTGAATCTTCTTAACTGAATGGTAGAAAAAAACATTGGAAATCCATAGATGAAATATTTTTATTTGATAATTTCCTGTATATTTTAATCATAAAATATTATGATCGAAAGAGTAAGTCTGTAATAGAGTAACATAATGAAGGAATCCATACGCTCTACTGTCAGTTTGGCCTGGGTCTTGTCATCTAGGGTTTCACATGAGTAATGTCCTCTGTCAGCATACGCCACACTCTTGAGGACCAGAGCCTGCTTGGCACCATCCACATGGATCTCCATATTTTCTCCTTGCTGTAGTGCCACACCATTCTTCATCCACTTGACATCTGTTGAGGGTTTACTCAGCTCCACTTCCAAACGAACTGTGTCCTGCTCAGTAACAGTCATGTCTGCAAGCTTCTTCTTGAAGGTGATGGGAAGCTCTGCAAAATACAGATATATTTGTATTGAGAAACAGGTAGTCTGTGTATTTCCTGACAATATGTTGCATTACGATTAACAATAGTATCTGTCACTTATCCTTACGTTGTACTTGGAGTGTGGCTTTGCACACTTTCCCCTCGGCATCAATACTGATCTCTCCTGCATCCTCCTGAGTGACAGCTGTGATGGTGAGGGAATGGCTGCTTCCTCCATGAGCGATCTTAAATTTGGGACTAGCTGTAATAGGAATTTCATTACGCAGCCATCTGACACTCACATCAGCTGGTGTGATGGAGCATTTAAAGATAGCATCTTTGCCTTCATTTGCAACAACATTGTTCAGCTTGGTAGTGAACCTCACTAGACGTGGGGCTGTGGGAAATTAGATTGAAAAACTGAGAGAAATGATAATGAAGGACATCTATCACTTAAAACAAGCTTAATAAATTGTGTTGGTTCATTTTGATGAGAATCGATGACTTTCAGACATAGACTCTTAATTGTTCGTACCTTTAGTAGTGACTTTGGTGGAGGTCTTGTCATCTTTGCAATCGCAGCTGTACTCCCCTTCATCCTCCTGAGCCACAGCAGAGACAGTCAAGATGCAGTTGGTGCCATCGGTGCGGACACTGAATCTGCCACCTGGTTTGATTTCTTTACCGTTATGCTTCCAGAGGACACTATCCGTGGCTTTGTTGAGACTGCAGGAAAGTGTCATGGTGCTTTCCAGTACTGCAGACACTGGCTGCAATGGCACCACAAACTTTAAAGGTACATCTGCAGGGCACAGATGAGGGAAAAATGTAATTACATTTGGTCTGCGATCAGTCAGATTTATTATTTCAATAAGTGCAATTATATCCAACACAATTTACTTTGAAAACTCCAGATGTATGAGCATTAATTGAATTGAATTGAATAAATAAAAAAATGCAATAAAAAATTATGAAAACTGCCATTAATCTGGTAAATGAACAAATTTTACTTTGAGAAATTATCAACACCTTAAACCATTTGTACTTTTTCTTACTTTGAAATTGCAAATTAGCTTTTACCTTTGACCTGAACCTTGAACTCAACCTTGTCATCAGCCGTCTGACAAAAGTAGGTGCCGCTGTCTTTAGATTCAGAGGACTTAACGATGAGGACACGTGAGCGGCCTTCCTGTTTCATCTCATACTTTGAGCCGTCTTTCAGTTCTATTCCATCCCTGAACCACTTAACACTACAATTCTCTGACATCACCTCGGTTTTTAAAACAACCTTTTCTGTTGACTCAACCATCACAGTTTCTTTTGTTACGGATGTCTTCTGGAATTTGGTAGAAACATCTGAGGAAAAAATTTAATCACTTAATTGTGACCATGTTCTGGAGGAAGACAAGTATGTGGATTCAAGGAAGTCCACTGATGTGCTAGAAAATCTTACCTTTCACCTGAATCTTGAAGAGAAGTTTCTCATTTCCAACTTCACAGGTATATTCTCCAGCATTCTTCTTCTCCACATTCTCCAGCACCAGCTGACGGCTTTTGCCCTTTGAATCCATGTGGACAGTCTTACTGGAGCTCAACTGCTTGCCATCCTTGAACCATTTCACATCAGTCTTGAGGTCAGAAACTTCACAGCTCAGTGTGGCTTTTTGGGAGGCTGAAACTTTCACTTCCTTCTGATAAGAGTCTTTGTTGGTGAAGGCAGCTTTGAGCTCTAATAAGAAGAGAGTTTATTTAATTCAAAGAGTTTGCCTATTTACAGAGAAAATCAACAGTAGGGTTGCAATTACGTTGAATATGACAAGAGACAATAAATATTTTCATAGCAGCTTTTAAATAACCCAAAGAAGACTGTTAAGATGCACAGAACCAAAATGAACAGTCCAAAATGGTTTCCATACCTGTCACCTGAATCTTAAATGGCAGCTTTTCGTTCCCAACTTCACAGGTATATTCTCCAGCATCCTTCTTCTCCACGTTTTCCAGCAGCAGCTGACGGATCTTGCCCTTTGATTCTATGTGGACAGTCTTACTGTAGGTCAACTGCTTGCCATCCTTGAACCATTTCACCTCAGTCTTGGGGTCAGAAACCTCACAGCACAGTGTGGCTTTTTGGGAAGCAGCTACTTTGACTTCCTTCTGATAGGAGTCCTTGTTGGTGAAGGCAGCTTGAATATCTAGTTGGGCAGGCATATTGCAACATGGATCCAATATTAGAAAACAGTATTCTTTGAGTAAATATTTTATTTTAAGTTATAGACATCAAATACTGCAGAGACTGAATGGTTGAGAAATCCAGAAGAGATCAAAAATCATAAAATGTATATTAAGCAAACAAATCCAAATCTTACTGCAGACTATTACTTTTCCAGTAGCACTGAAATAAACAAGAAATTGCTTTTTAATTTTGAAATTACTTCTTGATCAGAAAATGTATGTGTCACTAAATCTACAAACACAAGTTAATTGTATCTTACTCAATGGTCTCTTTCATCAAGGACAAACTCTTTCGCTACATGTAAAAGTAGCTTTTGTCAAGCTTCACTGATTGATTGTAATTTTGATTTATTTCATAAGGAAGAAAACCTAAAATAGAAATAGACAGCCAAAAGACAAACAAAAGGATGTTCCCATACCTGTCATCTGAATTTTAAAGGCAAGTTTCTCATTTCCAACTTCACAGGTGTACTCTCCAGCATCCTTCTTCTCTACATTTTCCAGCACCAGCTGGCGGCTCTTGCCCTTTGACTCCATAAGGACAGTCTTACTGGAGCTCAGTTGCTTGCCATCCTTGAACCATTTCACCTCAGTCTTAAGGTCAGTAACTTCACAGCTCAGTGTGGTCTTCTGGGAAGCTGCTACTTTGACTTCTTTCTGATAGGAGTCTTTGTTGGTGAAGGCAGCTTGAATGTCTGGTTGGGCAATGGACAATATGAGAAAACAGTATGCTTTGAGTAAATATATCCCTCAAGATTCTATACAACAGATACAGCAAACACTAGATGGTTAAGAAATTAGGAATGCAAAATAAACTGCAAATGAATCCACAAAAAAGCTAATTACATTGCAGACTGTAACTTGTTTTTGGTTCTGTACCACTGAAATGGGCAAAAAATTATTCTACTTGTCATTGTACCTCTTCTTGAAGACACATTAATAAAATCTTGTGAGGCAAAGCATATATCAAACTCTTTTGTTCAACCCAACAGACAAACACAAGGACATACCTGTCACTTGAATTTTAAAGGCAAGCTTCTCATTTCCAGCTTCACAGGTATATTCTCCAGAATCCTTCTTCTCCACATTCTCCAGCAGCAGCTGACGGCTTTTGCCCTTTGACTCCATGTGGACAGTCTTACCGGAGCTCAACTGCTTGCCATACTTGAACCATTTCACCTCAGTCTTGACGTCAGACACTTCACAGCTCAGTGTGGCTTTCTGGGAGGCTGAAACCTTCACTTCCTTCTGATAAGAGTCCTTGTTGGAGAAGGCAGCTTGAATGTCTGGTGCAGAAATAAAAATTTAGGAATATAGTCTCAGAAGCTGCATTTAGTTTTATGTAAACTGTGCTTTGCTCATGTTTGATTGAGTCACTGGAACCTTAAAAAACAAGCCAAAACACGGCCATGGTGTTCTTACCTTCCACACAAATCTTAAAGACGAGCTTTTCATTTCCAATTTCACAGGTATATTCTCCAGCATCCTTCTTCTGCACGTTCTCCAGCAGCAGCTGACGGCTTTTGCCC